AGATATACTTTTGAGATCTCACAGTCATGAGACCAAAGAGGTTCTGTTCAAAATTCTATATCCTATTTTACTGAAATTTTCACATTATATAAAACCAAGTAGTAGACTGACTATTAGCAAATTATTCAATATGCTCCAGTGCAGTCATCTTAGGTACAGAGACTGCTGAAAGCATACAGGTTAAGATTGATCTCAACAGTTTACCACAAGGGTAACTCAAATTCTAGGAAATGCACTGTTTGGACACAGAAACCAACAAAGAACAACAAAATTTGAGCAAGAATCTTTTACTACATTAAAAACAACTGAACAGAACATGTCCTACTTCTCATATTCTGTTAGTAAAGGAACTTTGAAGAGTCAACACTTTATGAGACTCCAAAGAATAGAAACTCTCACAATGGGCCCTAGAGGTCCCCTTACATGCAGAGAAAGTCTGTGGACAGAACCATTCTCTAGGTTATGCTGCTTCTAGAAACCAGTGGGAGACACCAGGGCCCCAGTGCACACACATTCCCATGACAATGTGTTACAAAAGTAATGACAGACTTGTCCAATTGCTTCCAGACCCTAACTCTGATTTGCTTCACTACTCATTTTTATGACAGACAACATATTCCAAGCCTGTAATCTCCTCGGTCCTGTCTTTGGTAGGGGCAAGGACTAACAAGCCTCTTTCTGGATGGAAAGACAGAGAAGTGGAAGGAGTTTCTCTGGGGTGTCTCCATCAATTCCAGCCCTGGCTCTGCCTCAGCCACTTCAAGTGCACCCCTCGGCCGCCTCTGAAGACACACCATAACCACACAATCCCCTTCCAGGCCACACTGCAGGGGAAGGGGTGAGAAAAACAGAGAGAATGCTGAAGTCAGCTGCCTGGGAGTGCCTGAGTCAGCATCTTCAAAAGCAGAGCAGTGGTTGGGAAACAGCCTTCTCTCCCACAAAAACCCCAAGTATAACAGCAACCCAAGAGCTCAAAACCAACATGCACAATTCCAGTGGGGGCCTTAAGCTGACCACGGGTGCCAAGGAACCAAAGGCTGGAGTGCTCCCCACCCATTCACAGCTGCCCCCTGAAAGAGCCGTAGGGTTTGAGAGACCAGGAGTTGCTGGGCGCCTCAATGTTGTGCAAGGAGCCACTGCATGAATGTGGGTTATCAAGTCCTGCCTGGAGCTGGGCTCAGTTTTAAGTCTTTCCTAAATTATCAAATACAATAATGACCTCATCCAGAAACTAATTTTTCCAGGAAGACTTGGACAGCTTCATGTTTCAACTAGCTGTTGCTTTTAAATTGAAGGGGTGGAGGCGGCTAGTTGGGGCTGCAAGAGAAAGAGGCAAAATGTTCTAATCAATGATATACTAAAGTAATTCAACTTCAAGTGCTTCTTAGGATATATTATATGAAGAAAATTAAGATACAAAATTATATGCAGCCATAAATATACACAACACTTAGAAAAAACTTTGGAAGAAAGTTTGTTCTTCCAAAAAAGCCTCTTAAAATATGAGTAATGAAATTACAGACAATTATTTTAAAAATTTATTTCTATTCTTCAGAATATTCTGGACCTAACTTCCCTGGATTTTTCAAGTTTTCCTTAATGCATGTGTATGGCTTTTCTGATGAGGGAAAAACATTCCATCTCAGCCGTCCCAGGGAAGTAGTGACTTTGGAGCATGGCTCATCTAGGAGCTTCCAGGACTTGGCAAACTCCTGGTTTCTCTGCCCCATGACATGTGAGTTACCCAATACCACAGAATTGTACAGGGTGAAGGGAAGAGCAACAGAAAGAGCCCCGGGGGCGTTTGGAGATGAGGTCTGGCAGAATTCTGAAATGCAAGGTTAATTGAGGAGAACTGTGGGTTCTGGTGGTTGAACAAAAAAGCTGTGGGTTCACTCAGCGACAAAATATTCCTGTTTCCTAAAGGACAAGTTTTCCCTCCTGAAGCCCACTCAGGCCTCGTCTCCCACTCGCCCTGCACCTCCCAGGCTCTGTGCTCTACTCAGAGAAATGTCATGTCTTAGCAGAGCCCAGATAAGGAGGCCCCTGCAGGCACTGCCCTGCTCCCCACTGAGTGCCAGGCCAGACCCTTCATCTCTGTCTTCTCCTTCAACTTTCAACCTAACACAGGAATAAGTGGTGGTGGCCCATCTTTAGAGATGGGAAAACCAAAAGTCCAAGACAACTGAGGCTGCAGGCTAATAAATTGTGGAGATAGAGTTTGCACATGTCATCTGACTTGGAGGCCCTTGCTCCCAGGCAACATGGGCACAAGCCGTCCTCTGGAGCAAAGTGATCAGAGGCTTATTTCTGGCTCTGGAAGGGAAAGGAGGGACAGTTCTGTGACGTTTGCTAACACCTCTTTAAAAGAAAAACCCTGCTATAAATTGATTACGGACACTGCTGGGCTTCTTGGAGCTTCTGTTGTGGCTGCTAAGGGGAACAGAAACTACATCCTGCCATGCTGGAGTCCCTTAGGCCAGCCTGGGGACTCACAGGGGGAAGGCCCCTCCCAGACACCAGGCACCAGCTGCAGCTCCCAGAGGGTGTGGCACTGACTTGTAAGGGAGCTAGCATTGGGCGAGTCCTCCTTTTGTGCCAGGCAATGTGCTAGGTGCTTTACACACGTTCTCTTCTCCTCACAACAACTCTACACCCAAAGTCCCACAAGCAGCATCTGCAGTCATGGGATTTAGGCCCAGGCCTGCCTGTTACTGAGCCCATGCTTTTTTATGCCAACTCAGAACCAGCCAGCCAACACCAATCTATCATGACTTAGTTGCATGTTTGGCACATCAACTCCTAATTTTTCCAACTAATTTTCTCTCCTATGACATTCATGTGTCCTGTACTTTCTGGGGTGATTGCGATTGTGACTACTGTGGCCCCCCAGCACCATGGATGTACTCATGCTTGTCTCACGGGAAGGTCTGCTCCAGCAAGCCTCTCTTGCTAACCCATGTTCACACAACTCTCAACACTTGTTTGTCACCTGGAGGGGTGGCTGCTCCTCCCACAGTGACACATTGTCCACATGTTTCCACGTGCTCATGCTTGTCTCACGGGAAGGTCTGCTCCAGCAAGCCTCTCTTGCTAACCCATGTTCACACAACTCTCAACACTTGCTTGTCACCTGGAGGGGTGGCTGCTCCTCCCACAGTGACACATTGTCCACATGTTTCCACGTGCTCACATGCACCTCATCTTCCCAGGTGACCCCTGAGTTCCTTTCAAATCCACCCTTCCCACTCGGAAGACCAATCTCAAGGAGGGAATTCTAGAAACTGCAGAATGAATGACTTGTAGAACAAATTACAGTCCTGCCTAAACTTGTTCTGCTCACTATCTTTGCAGGTGGCATGGTGTTGGATGGAAAAGGCCTTTTGAGACACAATTTTTTTTTTTTTGTCTTTTGTCTTTTTCCGTGTCCGGCAACGGATCGCAACCCTCAGTGTTGCCCCCGTACCGGACCGGGGACCGGCAACGGGATCGCAACCCTCGGTGCTGCTCCCGCGCCTCGCTCAGCCAGTGAGCGGGAACCGGTCTGCATGTGGGATCCGAACCCTCGGGCGGGAGCGCCGCCGCGCTTCCCAAGCGGTGCACTATCCAGTGCGCCACCGGGCCGGCCCCCAACTTGTAATTTAACTAGACTTAATGTAAAGTCCTGTGCTTGGATTTGAAAAACTAACTGCTCAAACACAACACAATAAAAACTTGGCTTGGCCATAGTTCATTCAAAAAATTAAAAACCTCAAACGTTTGATAGTAAAATTAAAGAGTGTAATGTGACTATTTAACAGAAAAGTGAATGTATCATTGGGATGTACCAGTGCAAGTGCAGCGTCCAGATCAAGGGAAGCAAACGCTTGGCTGACTCTGGCATTGTCTAGAATGACAACATGCTCAATTCTGTGACACACACTTAACAAGTGATCCAGCCCTCAGAGCAGGAAGAGACTTAGGGTGTCTAGCCTGGATAAGAAGAGAGAACGGAGAAACACAAAGAAGCTTTCAGATGTTTGACAGGTTGTCATGTAGGAGAGGGACTCTAGAGTGTGAACCACTGGGTGGAAGTTACTGAGAAACAAGTTTCTGTTCAACATAAAGAGGAACTTCTAAACTATGCAGGTGGCAGGTGGAATAATGGCCCCCAAAGATGTCCACGTCCTAATTCCTGGAACGCATGACTATCCCACCTTCTATGGTAACAGGAACTTTGCAGATGTGATTAAGATCCTTGGGATGGGAAGACTTTCCTGGGTTATCCTTGTGGGCCCAATGTAATCACAAGGGTCCATATAAGAGGGAGCATCCGAGAAAGAGAGGTGGCAACAGAAGCAGAAGTCAGAGTCAGAGAACGATCTGAGGATGTTGCACTGCTGGCTTTGAAAATAGAGGAGGGAGCCACAAGCCAAAGAACACGCACGGGCAGCCTCTAGAAGCTCGAAAAGGTGAGGAAAAGGATTTCCTCCTAGAGCTTCTAGAAGGAATACAACCTTGCTGATACTTTGATTTTGGCCAAATAAGATCCAGAGCTGTGATGGGATAAATTTGTATTGTTTTAAGCCACTAAGTTTGTGTTGATCTGTTAGAGCAGCAATAAGGGATGGATATAGTTTCTAACAAGGGGGTGGCTATTACCAGCCCCAACAAGCTCTCTGTCCTGGGAGGCGGTCAAGCAGAGGCTGAACACTTCCACCTGTCAGGAATGCCACGCAGGCGAGTCCTGCATTAATCGGGAGGTTAATGGCCCACGGGGAGACCCCCAACTCTGAGAGTCCTCATGATATGGCAGTCCTTCTCTTGCCCTTGAAATTGACATGCTGGTCCCTACCACCATGCCTGTGGTGGGCAAACCTTGTCCCTGGTCTTCTGGGACAGCCATGGTTGTGACACTTTCTACCACCACCCTGAGGAAAAGACAGGCTCTGGGGAGATGTCCTAACAGCACCTGGGCCTGGGTCTGGCTCATGGCAACAGTGCTTGCCAGGGACACATACCTGAGCAGAGGACTCCCTTGTTCCTGGCACAGGAGAAGTTGTCACACTCGCAGAAAGGCCCGTAGATCTTGCCGAATTCACTCTCAAAGCAGGAGCACTGGTTGCAGCTGCATTGGCCGCGCCCGCTGCACAGAGGCTTGCCCTCCGCCTCCCGGCACAGGTTCTGGTACACACTCTGGTTCTCCCCCTCCTGGCACTCGCACCTGGTGCCCAGGTGGCTGGGGTTGCACTCGCACAAGCCGCAGACGTAAGTGCCATTCCCACTGCACCTGGCACTGTTGGGCTCCAGCCCCGCACTGCAGCCGCATGTGCAGTTGTAGGCAACCCCCACCTGCAGGCTGTCCCGGAATCCCACCGGCCTCAGGGCGAACACATGCTCCGTGTGCCTGCCAGGGCAGCTTCGGGCCTCCACCGACACCTCAAAGGACGCCTGGGCAGAAGGAAGAGAGGAGACATGGTGACCACAGCGAGGCAGGGCCTCCCTATCACCCAGGGACCACCAAGCACAGCTCCCCTGAGAACCTCGGTGGAGAGTTGCAGCCAACTCCAGCCCTCTCCAGGCACACGGCTAGAGCCACTGAGTGGCCCAAGCTGGAGACCTCAGAATCAGCACAGTCGCGCACTTTATGGAGAAGAGAATATTCAGGTGTGCTAACATTTGACACGCATTGTGCTTGGTTCTTTAACATCCATTAATGACCTCTTCTCCTCACGACCCTAAGGAAATGGGCTTCTACAGAAAGGTACAAGGATCCACTCAAGTTCACACAGTCCTTGTTCTCCCCTTCTCACGACCCTGAGGAAATGGGCTTCTACAGAAAGGTACAAGGATCCACTCAAGTTCACACAGTCCTTGTTCTCCCCTTTCTTTTCACTTCTATCCTATCCTCTCCCACCCCACTGCAGTGCACCTCTCCCTTACCCATTTTAAGTCATTCACTCAACAGATATTTTCTGGGCACTGCTCTGTCAGGTGCCGGGGTGGTGAGTGCCGCCGGCCCCTCTGTGGAGAGGGTCCCTTCCCGCTGGAGAAGGGATAAGCTGACCCTTGAGGTCTCGTCGCAGACACACCTGCAGCCCCTGTGCCTTCTGTGGGTGGTTCTCACAGCTGTGTCCTTCACGATCAGCCACAGCCCTGAGGTCTTACGCAAGAGTCATCACCTGATGAGATGCACCATGCAGGTGGACACTTTTTTCTTTTGAAACAAAACCTGTAAGGAAGTGTTTCCAACTCTGGAGATTCTCGTGGGTTTCTGTGGAAACAGGCAGCAAGGTGGACCTGGCTGGGTGGCAGACGGCGGTGCGGGAGAGACGCTCGCCAGCCGCCCACAGGGCTGGGATGTGAGGAAAGCGAGGATGATGAACAACAGTGCGACACCCCCCCCCAACACTCCACTGGGGAAAAGAGCCACATGGGGGCCGAGTCACCCAGCAGGGCCCCGGGAGCAGGGCACTGTAAGTCCCATGGAAATGCAGACAGATGCTGCCCGCCCTGAGGAAGCGCCGTCGCTAGTGCTTCTCCCAGAGTGGGGCAGAGCCCCTCAGACAGGCTGGCCCACTCCACAGACTGACTCACTGCCTCTGGGCCCAGATGTCTCTTTTTTCAAAGGTTCCTCAGATCACTCTGAAGCTCAGAATGGGTTAGGAACCACTTTTGGCTATTACTATTCTTAATTCTATTATTTGGGTTGGAATAAAGCAGGTTTTTTAAAGTCATTAATATTTTACTAGACACTTTTCAGGTAATAATGTTTATTTTTTGAGAACATTGGAAATATGTTTCTATAGATCGCTATCACTTTAAGATCTTTACTACTTTCAAAAGGCCTCCCCTCAGGTTCTGTGACATCTAGGGACACGCTGCATGGGGTGGGGACATGGGGTACTGAACAGGAGGACAGACCCAGCAACCTAAGTCCTGGAGAAACCCTGCTTGGCAGCAAGAGGACTTGACAACAGACACCCAAGACTCAGCATTAGCCTTGAGGCTCAACAGGAGAGGAAAGGCCTCCCCTCAGGTTCTGTGACATCTAGGGACACCCTGCATGCGGTGGGGACATGGGGTACTGAACAGGAGGACAGACCCAGCAATCTAAGTCCTGGAGAAACCCTGCTTGGCAACAAGAGGACTTGACAACAGACACCCAAGACTCAGCATTAGCCTTGAGGCTCAACAGGAGAGGCTTTTGGACAGTTGAGCTGAGGACAGTGACCAGGAGCCCAGGGGAAGAAAACACTGGGCGAACCAAGCCAGCTGCAGACAGTCTGGACAAGCCCCCACTCACCCTCCATCTCTATGTGGGTGGGGGAGAAGGCAAAGGAGAGAGATTGACAAAAGCAAGTTCATGGCTAAGTTCCAAGGCCCTGAGGTACAGGGAGGCTCCCAAGGTAAGGAAACAAGATGGGGATGCAGCTGGGCACTGGGTTGTGCTAATGTCCACACTGATAGTTAGCAGTTGCCGCGTGCCTGCTATGCACAGGCACTGTGCTGGGCATGTCCACAAGCATCTCTTCTACACACCCTAGAAAGGAGCATCCTCATTTTACCATGGAGAAAAAGCGGTTGGTGGGATCCATGGACTTGGCCATGGTCACACAGCCGGTGGGGGGTGGGCCAGGCTTAGAACTCAACACATCACCTCCTGGAAGGGGGTGACCATGTAGACACCCAGTGTCCAGATCTGGGGGCACAGGGAGAGCCGGCCTGACTTACTTCAAGGACCATGTGATGGCGACTCCCAAAGTGGTGGCCAAATACTTCTCCAAACCTTCCTGCCTTGGGCTGGGAATGATCTGAGCCTGCAGCTGGGAAGGGATGGAGGCTGAGCCTGACCAAAGGCACCCATGGGGCCATCAGGAATGTAGAGGCCTTTGAGAGGCCAACACTGTCCTCACTTCTGAGGCCCAGAGAGAAACAGTGACTTGCTGGAAGCTACCACCTCTCAGGGATACAACTTGCTGGATTTGTTTAACGAAAAGGTTTGCCCCACAAAGGCCTCTGTAGGTCAGAAATGGAATAAACTACAAAGGAATACTTGGACCAAGAGCCAAAGGCATTTAATTATCAAAAGACTGTGGGCAGTGTCCATCCCCCATGGAAACCTGCCCGTGTCAAGGGATAAAGTAATGAAAGAGGGAGTTACATCTCCTGACTCTTGCTGTGTTTGCCTGGGAGCAAGTGAAGAGGTTAGGGAGCCCCTGGGTCAGGGCTGGCACCCGGATCACCAGGACGTAGAGATGCTCAGGCACCGCCTGCCTGGCCAGGCAAGCAAGCAAGTCCCGGCGGCCTTCCCCAGTCGAGGCGTCGGTCCAGTCCAGCTGCTGTCTGTCTGGCCCCATGCGGCCTGGCATGCAGCCGCTCCCTGATACCCAGGCAACGGCTCTATTTCAGCCACTGGGTCTCGGCTCCTGCTGGGCCCAAGAATGCTATAAAAACCACTTTGGGAACAAGTAATTCTGCTCACTTACCCCTCCTTTCAGAGAGTCCATTTTCCCTACTGGATTAGGAGAGGATCCAGAGAGGCTGGAAGGTAACTGGACTGAGGCTTCCTGCTTCTCTGCCCTGATTACTGAGGACTCCGACTGACCCCAAGTACTCCCCAGCTCCTGAGGCTTTCCATTTCCCCGTTCAAAGATTCCAGAGAAAGGTCCCAGACACAGCACCCCTCCTGCCCAGTCTTCTTATTATACCCTCATTGGGATGCCCCTGGTTCCCCTGAAGGGCTATGGGCCCCCTGCCCCAAACCCACAAAACCCAAGGCTGTGCAGATGCCAAATCCACTCAGATGTCAACGAAACAAAGAGCTGGGATGGGCACAGGGTACAGAGCCACAGAGGAGTGGACAGGAGCAGGGAGTGCCATGGGAAGCCCGTGACAGGGGCTCACTGAGTCCTTTGTACTGGGCATTAGCCTAGCTGCACAGCCAGCCACTTGCATACTGATTTGTCAAAGGCAGTAACTGAGAAAGCCAAGTCCTGGTGGTTAGGACTACTCCATCAGCCCTCACTGGTGTTAGGACCAGGGGAGGAAAATTAGGGAAACAAGTAAAATCACTGGAGAACAGAGCCTCATTGGATTTGGGGCTTTCAAGGTTTTATTTAAAGAGAATTTCTCTTTGAAGACATCCTTTTCCCTCACCCCTTGCCCCTCACCTGCTTCTTGCTAGATGGATGTCTTAACCTAGAGAACACAGGGTAGTCACAGAACCACCGCCTCTGGTTGGACGTGACCACAGAGCTGCTTGCTGCCTGCCCTCCACCACCTGGCAGGAAGCTGTAATTACAAGGAAGGGAGAGCCACCTGGCTGCCACTTAACCCAGCTGTCCCAAGGCTGCCTAGTCACGGGCTGTGTCCTCATTCGTGGGACAGATCCTGAGACACCAGATGGCATGAACCTTGCCTGCTTTTCCTAATTGCTCTTCTCCAGGCGAGTCCCTAGCCCTTCAGCTGTGCTCCACACTCTTGCTTACACCCGAGCCATTCCCTGACTTGTCCATAGCCCTCCCAACTTGTCACACCAAAGAATGGAACCCACCCACCAAGTAATGGCCAGACCCCTTAGCTTGGCATGTGTGCCTACCAGTGTGACCCAAGCCAGTCCTGCTCCCCTCAGTCCCCAATCCCTTCCTTTCACCACCATGGCCATCACCCTCTGCTGCCTTATTACCCTTGCAAACGGGTGATGCTTTCACCAGAACAGACTCACCTTGCTGCTCTGCACCGGCCATGCCCATAATTGGACCACCCCACCCTCCCTTCCTATGTCTGGAAAGCTCCTACTCATGCTCTGAGCCTCAGCTCAAGCAGCACCCCTCTGCCATGCCAGGCCCTTCTCCCTGGGCTCCCACAGTGCCATGCCCAGCTGTTATCAGGGTGCTTATCACCCTCCCTGGGGCTGACTCGTTTGCATGTTTATTTCTTCCACCAGACTCTGAACCCCCGACCTGTCTGCTTCCTTCTTACACCCTGGGTGAGAACAGTATTTGGCATATAAATACTTATTGAACATGAGTGGATTTCAACACAGTCACTGGCAAGTTCTGAAATGTATGTCCTTGGGACCAATGTCCAGAGGGAAATACCCACATGCTCGTAGCACAGCTGGTTACTGAAGCCCAACTGGAAACTCTTTGGAGAAAGGCAGTTACACCTGAGAGGAGGGATGGAAAGTTTCTCTTCTTGGGCCAGGGTTAAGAAAATCAGACTTGGCTGGCCAGTTAGCTCAGTTGGTTAGAGTGCAGTCAGTTGGTTAGAGACTAAGGTCAAGGGTTTGGATCTCTGTACCAGCCAGCTGACCCCCCAAAAAGAAAGTCAGACTGGTCCCAGCTGGAAGTGTATCCCTTCTGGCTCAGGGCTCAGGGGAAGTGACAGACCCCTCTCCATCATAAAGGGTGTTGTGGGAAAGCCCCCCGCTGCCCCCCACCAGGTCTGGTTCTGCGGGGGTGTGACTGTGGAGCTACATGCCATCCCTGCCACCCCTGCCCACTGAGGGCCTGTGCTTAGGTAATGCTCTGCTGCTGCTGCTGTCTTCAAATTCTTTTTTTTTTTCCTTTTTGTCTTTTTTACTGACCGGTAACGGGATCGCAACTCTCGGTGTCGCGCCCGTACTGGGGACTGGCAACGTACTAAGGACCGGCAACGGGATCGCAACCCTCGGTGTCGCGCCCGTACTGGGGACTGGCAACGTACTAAGGACCGGCAACGGGATCGCAACCCTCGGCGCTGCACCTGCACCGCGCTCAGCCAGTGAGCGGGAACCGGTCTCCACATGGGATCCGAACCCTCGGCGGGAGCGCCGCCACACTCCCAAGCGGCGCAGTCTCCAGTGCACCACCGGGCCGGCCCTGTCTTGAAATTCTTAATAATTTTTGAGCATGGGCCCATGAATTATGTAGCCAGTCCTGTGCCCCTGCCTCAGAGGCCCTCATGGCCTGTGTGGACCTTGTGAGCAGCACCCTGTCCAGCTCTGACAAGCAGAGTGGCCACTGCTCTGTGCCAGCCTGTCTTCCACCACAGAAAACAAATATCCCAAGGCCCTTGCACAGAGCCCCTGGCCACGTGACTGTGGTTCTTGGACAGCAAGACAATAGCACTGGGCCAATGAGAAGAAGCGAGCCAGCAAGGGAGGCTTACCCGAGGGCCCGCTGCTGCTGGGACAGGCGACGGCCCATCAGATCCCAGAGGAAGAGCTGTGGTCGGTGTGGGGAGAAGCACCCTTCTCCTTTACTACTATTTCAAATGCTCTAAAATCATCCCGTTATAGTAGACATTTTTTTACTTTTGTGAAAAACTGCCATTTAAAATCTTTTCCTGGGCAAGCCCGGCGGCGCACTCGGTAGAGTGCGGCGCTGGGGAGTGTGGTGGCGCTCCCGCCGAGGGTTCGGATCCCATATAGAGACCGGTCCACTCACTGGTTGAGCGCGGTGCAGGCATGACACCGAGGGTTGCGATCCCATTACCGGTCACGAAGAAAAAAAGACAAAAAGGAAAAAAATAAAATAAAATCTTTTCCTGATTTCTGGACAATGTCTCCCTATCTTTCTCAGGTATCTCAGCAAAAACCAAAATGTGTACACTGGAGCCTGCACACAAGGGCAACGACACCTGGGTCCGCTTCTTTGAAGCTTTCACTTCTGAAGCACAGAGACGAGGGGAAAGCGTGGGCTGCGGCACCGGGGCTGCGGGTGCGCGCTGCCAGTGGGACTTCTGGGGAGGTTCTTGGGCCCCGGTTTGCACTTCAGTTTTGGGCACGTAAAATGGGGAAGTAACAGCTACCTTACAAAGCTGCTGTAGGAAGCAGAGAAAGTAGCCGTCAGGCCCCTACCACAGTACCAGGAGCATCAAATGGTAACTAACATGACTCCCTCTGTAGCAGGCAGGCAATGACTGGCAAGGTGACTCGGTTCGGAGTGAAAAGACTATGGTTTGGGTGGTGAGTCCACTGCTTACTAGCTGGGTAAGCTTGGGCAGGCCCCTCACACCCCCAAGTCTCAGGCCGCCCATCGGCAGTGAGCATAACGCTGGGCTCCCCACCTAAGCCGCAGGCTGTGTAGACCACATGTGATAAAAGCGCTCAGTAAACTGTGTTCTTCCAGAGGAGGCTCCTGTTCATCATCACACTTTGTTCTGATACGAGTCCTTTGAGATGGGTATGGCAGGAGCAAATCATGGGCACCGAGAGGCCACGTAAGGGTGGTGTGGGGGGCTGGCTTCAGAACCAGAAAGCCCTGGTTTTGAACTTGCACTTGGTACTCACTGGATGTGCACCTTGGGCAATTAGTTCTTCGTGCCTCAGTTTTTCTTATCTGTCAACATGAGTCACAATGTCTTCCGTACCGGGAACTAGGTGGGGAACACAGAGCTATTCACACTGCCTACTTTGTTTCCCTCTTTGTTTCCCTCCTTCCCGGGACTAACTGCATTGTCCCCTTGGGTGCCATGAGGGACCCCAACAGACTTGTAATGCTTTTCCCTTTTTCACTTAAAGCAGCATAAATTGGCATCGGTTCCTTGCATCCAAAAAGAGTTTCGACTTCATGCTCTTATTGTCAACAAACATACCAGTTCCTTTGACCTTCCTGGTTTCTAGACAATTCGTCGTGATAGTGGCTTGTCACTTTTCCTCTTGAAAAAAGAAGTGAGCACAGAACTCCAGTTGCAGTCCAACCCATACAAAGAAGATTGGAAGCATTGTCTCTGGGGTTTCACAATACTTCTATTAACACAATCTCAATTGGCATTACTTTTTTTTTCTTTTTAAAGCAACACTTTATTCTCACTGAGCCTCTGATCCATTAGAACCTGCCAGATGTTTTTCTTTCACTATCAAACCAACTTTCCCATATCCTATTAATATTCTGAACTAAATGTAAGATACTAACCTTGATGATTTCAAGCCAGATCAATTTTGAAAAAATATTTTTAAATCTTGGTTTTCCTGCTTTATGATATCAACTGTTTTCTCCAGCTTTGTGACCTTACCACGTTTGATAAGCAGGTCTTCCGTGAGTTCAACCCAAACCAATAGTAAAAACAGACAGACAAGAGACACATAAACCGGGGGTGAGAACTTACCGTGTCCCCGATCTTCAGGCCCTCACACTTCCTCTGACCAGGGTAGGATACACCATCTTGGCAGGTGGCAGTGAAGAAGAGATTAAGATCCTCAGGCTGATCCCAGACTGACAGCTCCACTTTAGACCGGATACTCTGAAGGAATAGAAAAAATGGAGCCCAACCACTTAGTCAAGGCTACCGCTGGGGTGCTCCCCACACTGGTTTTCTGATGCACATGTGGCTTCCTCTAACTCAGGAGTTCCACACCAAGGAAGGAGCCAGTGGGCTTGGTTCCCTGCCTCTCTGTCATCTTTTTTCTTCTCTCCATACGCACACACCCTCTTGCTAGACCTGGCTTGATGTTTCCCTGTGAGCTTAGCGAGGTTGATAACGGTCCACCTGCCATATGCTATTTTTATGTGCTGCAAGGTGCACACTCCATCCCCTGCTCACCTCCTCATCCCCACCCTCAGCTTCAGAGATGCAGTGCCTCAAATCTTGCCATGTGCTCTCCCATCTTTGGGCCTTCATAAGTGCCCAGGATAACATTCCTTTGCCCAATGGCTCTTCCCTCCTCTCTTCCCATGGCTGGCTCCTTCGCATCCTTCAAGAGCAGGTCAGCGGGCCCTTTCTCCACGTATCCACCCCATCATCCTTCTCCCTCACGCCTGTGCTCACCAGGTCAGGTCCATATTCATGAGTTTGAAACTACATTATGAAGCACAATTTGGGGGTAATGCTGTAACACTGCTTTTCATACTTGAAATAAACATTTACTTTTTAAAAAACTACAAAAAAAAAAGAATATTATGAGATAATCCAATCTTATATATGGATTATGTTCCCAAGATAGTGAATGAAACAAAAATCAAGTCAAAATTACCCATGAGAGTAGAAAAAATAAAAGACTGAAAACATCAAGTGTTGGAAAGGATGTGGAGCAATGGGGCTCTCACTCCTGCTGGTGAGAATGTAAATTGGTACAAACCTTTAGAAAACCATTAGGCACCATCTACTAAAGCTTAGGCCAACCTCAGACCTTTGCATTTACCCTAGGATTATACACGACAGAAATATACACGTCACCAAAAGACATGGACAAGAATCTTCACAGCAACACTGTTTGTAATAGCTGGAATCAGGAAACTACTCAAATGCCTATCCACAGCAGAATAAACTTTTTAAAAAGCAGTACGTTCACAGAGTAGAATACCACCCCATAATGAGAATGAACAAAGTACATACATCGATGAACCTCACAAACATAACATTGCCCGAAAGAAGCCAGACACAAAGGCATACATATTGTATGACTCTATGTATATGAAATTCAGAAGCAGGCAAAACTAATGGTTGCCCTCAGGGCACAGAATTGAAGAGAGCATGATAGGGACTTCTTGGAGCCGGTGATCTGTGTTTTTGACTAGGGCGCTGGATCCTCTGAGATATTTAGTGTGTGGAAAATTTGTGCAATTTTCTATATGTCTGTTAGCTTTAAAAAAATGCCCTTGAAAATCTCCGAAGAGATGCCACTTGGGAGACTAAGGCCAAATGAAGTCCTTGGCTTACATTTAGGGGCCATATTTTACCAAAAATTAAAAATCAAGCATCTTTTTAACACTAAACACACTCAGTATAGCAGGATGTATGTACTCTGAGTGACACACAGAACCTAAGATCAGAGGCCCATCTCCTTTCTCGGGTGCACTGTAGGGAGCGTGGTCGTTGAATAGAACAGCAGGCAGAACTGCCTCTTGCTCTCAAGAGTTTTCTTTTTCTCTTTCTTTGCTGAGCATGTAGTGCGAAGCTTGAATAAAAGAAATATGTAGTTTTCCCAACAAATAAACAGTGTGTTGGAAATACTTTGTAAAGAAGTCTCTCCCTTTGCAGCAAGTTGTCTAAGTGCCTCTACAACTCTAAAAATACTATCCCCCTTTTAAATCCACTTCCTCTTGGAAATGCCAGCCTTAACTGGCCAACGGTCACAAAAGTACCACTCAACACACACAGCACTATGCTGCTGAATGTGAGTCATTATTCACAGACCTGTCTTCCCCACTGTACTGCGAATTCCAAGGGCCGTATCATATATCTCTCCGGGACTTAGCACAAGCTCTTTCTTGTTGAATGAGTGGACGGATGGCAGGATGGATGTTTCAATAACAGCTATGCTAAGGTACTCAGGCCCAGTAGATGAAACTTAAAATTTATTTTTTCAAGGGCTGAGCCGTGGTGCACTCGGGAGAGTGCGGTGCTGGGAGCGCAGCAGCGCTCCCGCCGCAGGTTCGGATCCTATATAGGGATGGCCGGTGCGCTCACTGGCTGAGCGCCGTGTGGCTGGTCTCAAAAAGGACAAAATAATGCCGCAGGTTCGGATCCTATATAGGGATGGCCGGTGTGCTCACTGGCTGAGCGCCGTGTGGCTGGTCTCAAAAAGGACAAAAAAAAAATAATAATAATAATTTATTTTTCCAAGAAAAAGTAAATTGTAAAAAATAGATTTTTAACT